CCAGCTGTTCACCGGAGCCTTCCAGTAAGGTAAATGCTAAAGGTATTATGATGTTGATTTTGCAAGTCAAGGTTCAAAGCTATTGGGCAATGGTGTTGGAACACAACTAGGAAGCATTAGAGGCAGATTTTGAACTCAGGTCTTCCTGACTCCCACTCCGTACAAAACTCATTTTACCATAGCGTTTCCCACCCACAGCTCACTCAGCCATCGTCCAACCACTGAGCATTTAGGCTGTTTGAGTTTTATTTTTATTAGCTTTGAATAAATACCTCTGCAGAAATGTCTTTTTTGCCCCTTTTAGGATAAGTTCCTTGGGAATGATTTCCCAAGATGAAAGGAAAACCTCCACGGTGCTGGAGCAGCTTGGCTGCAGGGGGAGAGCCCAGGCTTGGTCTGCATTGACTTAGGCTTACAAGGAGCCTGGTCCAGAAGAAGCCCAGGGCTACCTCTGAGCCTTCCAAGCTGAGGGATGGGATCCTAGGGCAAGCCCTACTCCCTCCCTCAGACTTGCTTTCTTCACCTGTAATTTGTCAGTCAACAAACATTCATTAAGCACCTAATATATGCCAGGCACTAAGTTCTAGGGCTACAAAAAGAGGTAAAAGACAGCTCCTGACCTAGAGGAGCTCACAATCTAATGGGAGAGATGATGTGCAGATAAATTGTGGATAACCTCAAGGTAAGGCCCTAGCATGAAGGGGGACAAGGAAGGCTTCTTCTATTTCTGGCACTTAACTCGAAGACCATCATGAAGAAAGAACCTTATAAAAAGGAAACGTAGCACGGTGTCTCGGGTAATATTCTGGCCTTGGAATCAGAAATCTCTGGGTTCAAAATCTGCCTTTCACACTTACACGTTTTGTGACCAGGTCAGTCATTTTAACTTTCAGCTCATCGGTCTCCGGGGGGGGGGGGACCTGTGGCCTCCAGGCCACACACAGCCCTCTAGGTCCTCAAGAGCGGCCCTCTGACTGAATCCAAAGGATTAGAAGGTTAACAAAGCATTTTACATATCTTATTTCATTTGCTTCCTCAGAGCAACTTTCTAAGGCAGGTCCTCCAGGTATTTAAAAAAAATATTTTGTTGCATTTTTATTTATTTTATTGACTAGTCCCCAATGACATTTTTTTAAAAATCAGTTTTTATTGCTGTTTTCTGTTTCTTCCATCATCGGTTATTCCAAGTAATCCTCTCCCTCCCTTAGGATAATTAGTACTTTTTAGGGACAAAAAAAAATACCAAAAAAAGATCTATTTTTAAGAAGTCTGAAAACACGTGCAATGTGTAACCCTATGGACTTCCCAACTCCATGAAGGGGTAGCTTCTTCCCGACATTCTTAGCCCCATTTTCAGGTTGTGAAAACTGAGGCTCAGTTTAGTGACTTGCCTCTGGGCATTCAAAAAGTAACCTGTATTTCCTATGTGCCAGATACTGTGCAAAGCACATTACTGCGGCCAGTCCCAACGGCTCCTTTACCGGTCTTCCTGCCTTCCTCTTTCACCTCTCCCAAGATAATCTTTCTTATATATACATTTCTGCTCCCAAACCTTTCTTACTGAGATCAATTCTTATTCCTCTGCCAGGTTTTCAGGGTCCCTACCTACCATTCACACTCACCTCATCTCACTCCCCTTCAATCACCATTTTTCCCCACCCTGAGGCAATGTCTGTGACCCCACATGGGGTTTTCTTGGCAAGGACACTGGAGTGGTTTGCCATTTCCTTCTCCAGCTCATTGTACAGATGAGGAAACTGGGGCAAGTTAGGGTCACACAGCCAGTAAGTGTCTGAGGCCAGATTTGAACTCGGGAAGATGAGTCTTCCTGACTCCAGCATGAGCACTCTGCACTGTGCCACCGAGTTGCCCCTAGCCCCGGCAAGCTCAGGCCCAATTCCCTACACCTGCACTACCCTCCCTCTCCACTGGTCAGAGTGCTTTTCATCCTTTAATGCACAATCCCAGGGTTCCTTGGTTGACCTTTCCCCTCCAACATTCTGGTCCAAGGCTCAGAGCTGGACGGGGTCTGTGGCCATGCCCTGTAGTCCAACCCTAGGATTTTGCAAATGAGCACCAGAGCAGTCACAAAGGTGGCAGGCCTCAGAGGTAAGCTCTTACCATAGGGTCTGTCTCCAGGGCCACTCTTCTCTCCACTAAACCACGCTGAGGCCTTTGGTTCTGAAGGTTTCTAAAGCCATTGTCATGTGCGTGTTACAGCTCTTATTTTCCTGCCGGGCTATGAACTTCTCCAAGGCAAAAATTGTTCCTCCAAATGTGCACCTCTCTCCTGTGCCCAGCACACTGTTGGGAATGCAGGAGACCCTGGAGAGTTTTTCTTCTATTGGTTTTCATTCTCATGGCTAGAGGCTTGGGTGACTCCCATATTCATCAGCAAGGATTCTTTCCCTTTTGTATCTGGATCCAGCTCTGAACCTGTGCAGATCTGGCCTTCCCTGCGCCGTCCCCTCTCACCTCAACCGGAGCCATTTCAGTCCCCTCTCCTCGTCTGGCCCTTTGCTTCATTTCTCTTTCTCTGGACGCTGGATAGCAGGGGCACACCATCTTACCTCACTTATGTCTTCTTTCTTATGTCTTCAATGACTTCGCTTTATCAACTTGGCCAGAAAGTGATTTTTGCCTCCATTCCAATAATCAACTTTCCCAAACTTAGCAACTCTTATCAACACAAAGACCAAGCAGGGTTAGGGATGAAGTGTGGAGGTGAGATCCCCTTCCAGATAGAGCTGATGGACTCAGTGTAGAGGGAGACATTTTTGTCATGGCCATGGTCAATGTGGGAATTTGTTTTGCTCGACTATATGTTTCAACGGGAATTTTATTTTTCTTGCTGGGGGGGGAGGGAAGGAGGAGGAGCACAGAAGAAAGAAAAGGTTGAAATTAATTAAAAATGTTTTTTAATTTAAAAAACAAACAGAAAACACCCTTAGATTTCTCTCCTGAATTCACCTGGCTCTTGTTGTCTCAGGCCAGAAGCAACCATTCTAGCACTGATGCCTGCTATAGGTTCTGATGCCCTGTTTTTGTTGCGGATGTCTGGTCACATGTCAAAATCATGAAACTGCAACGTCAGAGCCTCCCACTGGAATACCAGAGCTGCCAAGGACCCTGAGATCTACAATGGGAGAGCTTGGGGCAGGGGGAATCTTAGACCAGAGACTGTCAGAACTGGGAATGACTCTAGAACACATAATATCAGAGCAAAGAAGGAACCTAGAACAGAGGATTTAGAAGTGGGAGGGACCCTAGAACAGCCACTGTCAGGCTGCTCCTAGAACTCAAAATGTCAGGGCTGGCAAGGACCCTAAAACAGACACTGTCAGACCTAAAAGGAAGACAATGCGAGATCTTCGAGAGACCCTAGAACCCAGAATGTCAGAGTTGTGATGGGCCATTAGGCCCCAATATGTCACAGCTAAAAGGAACCTGGAAAGAATTATGTAACAGATGAGAGGGATCCCCACAATAGAGAATATGAAAACAGATGTCAGAGCAGAGAGGGGCCCAGAATATCAGGACTGGGGATGAACTTAGAATAGGGATTTCCATGGGCCTTTGGCAGCCTAGCCCATTCTCAGGATAATACCTTTAAATGCATTAAAATAAAATACATAGGATTGCAAAGGAAACCAAATAATCTGTGTTTTTAAATTTATGGACCCAGATTAAGAACACCTGCCTTGGTGCATAGAGTTGGAACTAAAACCAAGAATGTTAGAATGACCTTAGAACTCACCTAGACCAATCTCTATTTTACTGCCGAGTTTGGAAGGGATCGCTAGAGGGGGATACGACCGCACTGAGGTCAGCCTAGGAGCAAAACTGAATTAGAAGATAACTCGGTGTTTAGATTTCTTTCCTCAACATCCTTGCTTTCTCCCTGGCCCACTTATTAGACAGTAAATTCCTCCCGGAGAGGAGAGGAAGCCAATCTTTGTTGACTTCACGGGGCGCCGGGCATCCCGAGCCCCACCACCTTGCCCATACTCCGCACACTCCCTTGCATCTACGCCCCGCGAACCCCCTCCCTGATGCACATGCCACCTCCCACCCGGGGCTCCCACAGTATGCGGCGGGTACTCGCTCCGCGCGGACGCGCAGCCTCCACTCTGGCTGAGGGCGCCCACAGCCCCAGGCAGAGCAGCAGCCCCCCAGTGGCCAGCCACAGGCGAGCCCAGCCCAGGGAGAGCGGCGGGCTCTCCACGAAGCGGCCGGGCCGGCGGGCTCCCGGCCGAGTTTCCCCAGCGCTCCTGGGTCCCAGAGCTCGCGGATCCGCCGGCCAGGGCCGGTCCTGGGCCGCTCCAAATCGACAAGTTCTGGGGGTGTTCCTGCCCCGCAGCTGTCCCGGCCGCTGGGGTGGCAGGGAAAGGCAGAGCGAGCCAAGAAACAGGGACTGAGAGGGTGGGGAGGGGGCGCTCGCTCCCCCTCCCCCTATCTCCCACGTAAACACACAGGGCTCCTGAACACACACGAGGACATAAACAGCCACACCTCCGCAACCCACAGCCACACCCCCGCAACTCCGGCACTACCGGACGTAAACAACCGCAACCTCGCAACTCCTCACACGCAGTCGGCCGTAAACAATCGAAACCTCGCAAACTCTTATGGGCGCACGCACGCACACAAACATACGCACATACACACACAGCCACACCTCCGCAACTCACGCGCACGTGGACATAAACAGGCACATCCCCGCAACACACGCGCAAACGCTCCCTTAAAGTCAGGCACACCCAAGGGTGCACAACTCTGGCTCCCTGACTCCGGCGCGCTCCGGAGCCCACTCACACACAGACCGGTGGGCACACACACACTCACTCACACTCACTCACTCAGTCACTCACAGTCGCCCAACTCCAGCCCGCGGACCCAGGCGCGCCCAGCCCGCGCTGCCGCCGCCCCCGCCCCCACCCCATCCGGCCCCTCCCCCCACAGCTGCCGCTCCTCCCCCCCCCCCCCCGCCCGCCAGTCCGGCCACCCCGCGGGGAGAGGGGGGGCAGGGAGCGCTTTGTCCCCGTGCTGCCGCTGCCGCCGCCCGTGGGACGCGAGGAGCCCGAGGCCCCCCGCGGGCGCGCAACTTGGAAGCAGAGTCGCCTGAGTTCGGGGTGGGGCGGCTGGGGGGCAGCTGGCGAAAAGGAGGAGGAGGAGGAGGAGGAGGAGGGCGCAGAGACGACAAGGACCAGCAGGAGGAGGAGGCGAGGGCGCCGGGCAGGGCAGGGCAGGGCGCCGGGGTAGCCCGAGTGGCGGCGGACGATGAACAAACTCTACATCGGCAACCTGAGCCCCGCTGTCACCGCTGACGACCTCCGGCAGCTCTTCGGGGACAGGAAGCTGCCCCTGACCGGCCCCGTGCTGCTCAAGGCCGGCTACGCCTTCGTGGACTATCCGGACCAGAACTGGGCCATCCGCGCCATCGAGACCCTGTCGGGTGAGTGGCCCGCCGACGGCTGCCCTGCGGCCCGCGCCTGTCGAAGGCTCCGGTTCCCCTTTTCCCACCTCTTCGTCGTCTTCGCTCCCCCCAGATCAGCCTGGGGCTCCAGGCGCCCCGAGATCCGCTCCCTCTCCCCGCCCGGCCGTCCCGGGGGCGGCCGTCCCGCAGGCAGCCTTCTCGAGGGCGTCCTCCGAGGACCTGGCCCGGGATGTCGCGCCCCGCCGGCCCCGCGTCCGTGGCCTTGACCATGACCTCCTACTCTCTCGGGGCTCCCCCGAAATCCCTCCGCGGGGCGCCCCCGCTCCTGCAGCTGTCTGTCCAGTCCCGGGACAGCCCGCTTGCCGTGCGCCCTCCGCGCGGGACTCTCGCCACTGGCCTAGGGACCCCTACTCACCCTGGGCCCCCGCGCCCGGGTGGCACCAGGCCCCCCTTTTCGCCCCCACCCCCCACGGGCCCTGGAGCGCTGGCCTCTCGAGCCTCCGCCTCCTCCTCCTCGTCCTCCGCCGCCGCCTCCTCCTCCTCCTTCTCTCTTGCTGGGCGCTCGTATTTTTCTCGGATTTTTTTCTCCGATTTTATTGAGAGCTTCCTCGGGCCGGGGGCGCCCCGGCAACGGGTCCCCCGCCCTCCGGGCTTCTTCGAGCACCTTTTTACGAGGTGCCCTGTCGGAACTCGGCGGGGTCCCCGAGTTAAGGCGAGCCAAAGAGGGGGCTGGGGGCCCGGGTGCGGAGCGCACTGCCGCCGGGCCACGGCGTCCCAGCTGCACGCGAGAGCGCACCCACACGGGCACACACTCACGGGCACACATGGGCACACGCGGGCACGGACCTGCGGGCGCTCCCCCGCGAGCGCTCCCACACGCACAGACACACACACGCGCGGGCAGGCGCACATTGGCAGAGAGCTGCGCCCGGCCTCTGGGCCCCGGGGGGACACGGGACACCCAAGGCCAAAGTGACACTCTCCCACGTTGGGGCCATCCGGTTGTCCCCCACAAACTATGAACTAGAGAAAGAGAGAAGAACTTTAGCTCGGCCCCCAGAGCCTTTTCTCCGATCCCCGAGTTAGCAGACGACGGGACGCAGGCGCCCCAACCAGGGGCCACCAGCACACAGCATGGCTGCCCCAGCCCTGCGTTTTCAGTTTTCAAATGAGCTTATCCTTACAATTTGGTGGCTTTAAACAAAATAATTAATTTTTCTTTTGTGATACTCAAACCACCCATAGTTCCGGCCACTTGTGGTTGGCGTTCCTCTCCCGTGATGGGAAGAGTAGTTTAGTTGTATCTACCCACCTGGGGCCAGCGCAGACAAAGTGCTGGCATGGGCTTGTCTACCCCCCCCCCCTTTGTGGCCCAAGTACAGATCCCGAGCCCATAGCACCGGGTTCTTCCTTAGCCCTCCCATTCACCCACCTACCCTGCCACCTCAGCCCTAGCTTCTGAGCCCCAGGAGAGATTCTGAAAGTTTTTTTCCTTCTTATTTTAAAGGTAAAGTGGAATTACATGGGAAAGTCATGGAAGTGGATTATTCCGTCCCTAAAAAACGGAGGTAAATAAATTTTGCTTCTCTTGTTTGTCTGGACTTTGGGTGGTTGGCCTGCAACCTGAACTCCAGCCTTCCTAGTTCTGCTTGATCTGTGTGTGGGGGGGGGGTAGCGGAATTTATTCATGCATTTTTCTTTGTTTTATTGGCGAAAGATGCTGGCTTTAGATTTTTACTTTCAGTATATGAAGTGTCTGACCTCACAAATGTATCTGGTGTCGACTTATTAGGAGTGGTCTTTGGGGTTGGGGGAGATGAAGAGAAGCTTCAGATATGAAACCCTTCTTGTGATGTTAGATATTGGGGGGTTTAAACCCCCCCCCCCAGTGTTTTATAGTCCCAATCCTTGGGCCTTTGTCAGGAATAAAGTCATACGGTACCAGCCCATGTTTCTTAGCTAAACATTGGGACAGTTGGATCTATATCTATTCCTTTACCTAAAAGACAATTTGGGCAAGTAGTCTTTGATTTACGAAGTTAAAAGCAACCTCGGCATTTCTTGAGATGGTGTGGAAACTCGGAGGCATGATTTCCTACGGTGGGCCGTTGCTGAATCTTCCTACGGAGCAAAAGTTTGCCCCTGCTGAAGTTGGCCTACTTCTGAAGCCAAAAGCATGGCTGGGGGGGCGGGGGAGGGTAATGGGATACCTATAGTTCTAAGTGCACAGAATTTTGTTCCTTCTAAGTCTGTGGAAGTTGTATTTAGAGAACAGTTATTTGACTTGTGAAATAGCCGTCCATTGGAATTAAGAGAGGAGGGGAGAGGGGAGGGGGGGAGACGGAGATAGAGAGAATTAGAATGAACATATCTTTTTTTCTCTTCTTTGTTACATTTCTTCAGTGCTATATGTCTCCGTATCTTTCCTCTTCCCTTTGCATCCTGTTACAGTGCAGAGTTTGAGATTATAGTCACTTAAACCTTCCTAGGCCTCAGTTGCCACATCTGTAAAATGAGGGGATTGGACTAAATGAGTGCCTCCACTTTATCAGTCCCTTTAGGCCCTAAGTGTTTGACCCTGGATTTTCCTGTTGCCAGTAATTGTCAATTATCAGCCTCGTGGTAGAACTTTCTTGATTTTGCCAAGAGAGGCTCAGAAATGAACCAGCCGAATTTGCTAGAGGTCCCCTGCTGAAGGCTCCAGGTGTCCTTCCAAACTGTGGGGCCCCTCCTTTTTTTTTAAGCCAGCATTATCTATATGACTGCCCGTGACTAGAAAAATCAGTAGTGTATTAAACGATCAAAGACTCGGTGGCTTGTGAAAGGGAAAATGTTATGATCTGTAATTAATTTAGTGTAAGAATGGTAAAGTGCCCCTTTCCCAAAAGAAGAGAGAGCCCTCTTGCTGGGCTGTGGGATTTGAAATGGGAATCGAGGGTCCTGGTCCTCCAAGTCAGGGGCCCAGAAAACTCCAAAGATCCAGCCCCCGGCTTGAAGGATCCCGCCCACCCACCACTTGTTAGAAGATTAGCTATTAATGGCTCCAGAGCTCTTAACCCTGTGTTTTTAATTGCCTTAAGTTAAAAAACAAAAACAAAAACAAAAACAAAGGTCAATTGCATTTTTAATTCTGAATGTGTGGTTATTGACAGATATTCACTGAAACTAAAACCAGTTTGTCCCAAGGAGGTACAGCCTTATCCTGAAATGCCTTTTTCTGTGTTCTAGGCTTGTTTTTGCCTCTCTCGTAGTCTCTTCCCTGCACCCCCCCCCCACCCCATGCATAGAAATGTTGCTTTGGGAGCAGTGGCCTTTAAGTCGAGCATTCCATCAGGTGACGCAGGGGCCAGCTGGCCTGGCCATGGCCCAGGTCATGGTATATGCAGAAAAGTTTTCCATAGCTCCCAACGTGGACTGTATTTCTTTGTGGATGTGGGCTTCCCCAGCGCTCAGACTAAGCTCTGGGTGTGATTCACTTCGAACATACCATTTGAATGCATAAGCCCTGGAGCCTGGTGGTTTTTCCTGGAGTTTCATGTTTTTTTATTAGTTGATTTGACTTTCCCTTAGATTTAGTGATGAGTTGGGAATGGAGGATTTGGGGATTGGGGGGTGGCTGGTGATGGCCTAGACGTTCGTGGGATGCGTTCATAGGTGGGAGCCGGGCTTCTGGGGCCTTCTCCCAAACCCAAGTGGCCTTGGAAGTCTGGGAAGGCAACTTTTAAGTTTTCTTTTCTCTCTTTTCCTTGTTTTGTGTGTTAGTATGTTCATCCCTTCTGGATCACCGGGGAAGAACGAGCACGTTAGAACAGTTTTTCTGATCCTATGTGGATTTATTTTATTGACTTTTCCATATATGTGTGTCTGTGAGTGTGTGAGAGAGACAGTTGAGGTGATCACCAACACAGTAGCCTTCTTTTTGCTGGCCTAGGATGCCAGGACCTTGGTAGAGTATGTAAGGTTTGATTTTTAAAACTCATTCAGCTGAGGAGCTGGCCCTTCATACCTCTGCGGGTTCCCTTTGGATTCTCAAATTTGAATTGTCTTTTCCTTATATCCAGCTGCAGAGGTGGTGATTGACATACACAGCCACACACATATGTATATGGATGTGTATATCTGTAGCTAGCTATCTCAGGATATCAGAAAATCGATTTGAAATTTTAGATTCGAAATTACAGGAGTAAATAGAGGACGAGTCATTTATGCCTTGTTTTGGTGGTTGTGTTGTTTCGTATTTTCTCATAGTTTTGTTGTTGTTTTGCATTTTGTTTTCATCAAATACAAGTTCTGTAACTATATAAAAATAGTGGAGAAACAAGCATCCCTTTCTTTTGTTCTCTGCCTTGGGTTGCAGACTGAGTTGAAATAAAAATAAAATAACCTTTGAGTCTTCTCCTCTCTACTCCTCCCTTCTCTCCCCGCCCTCCCCCCCCCCATGACAGTATTTGGTTGGGTCAGTTTTTGCCATGGGGTATGTTCAGATCAAAGGTGCCCGACAGGGAGAGGACTGATAAGCTTTATTTGTGCTGGGCAAAGCTGGCCTGCCCCTCCTCTGATAGAAGTTTCACTTTACGTGCTACTAACAATTTTGTTCAAATCTAGTACACAAATTTGTTTTTGAGAAGACATTCTGGTTTGAGTGTTTCTGTAACCAATGTTGGAGGGAGCCTTCCAGAAACAGTAGTGGGGGGTGGGGTGGGTAGGGGGACCATGGTTCCCCTGCACCCCCCCCCCCAACCTCTTCGGGAGAACACAGAAATCAGGACAGACATGACCCAACTGGGGAGGGAGGATGTGACTCCTGGGAGGTGTTGGAGGAAAAAGCTATGAATTTGTCTTTCATGATTTTTCAAAACCAGTAATTGTGTTCTCTCCCATGCAAATGGCCTTGGTCTCCTATAGGAATGTTAAAGAAAACAGTGTCCCAATTGTGTTTTGCTTGTATGTACTACATTGTGTATGGTGGAATTAAATACCGAAAAGAAAAAAAACCTCACAACCCCAGCCCCAGCCCCCAAACAAACAAACAAAAATCCCCAAACCTTTTTGCAGATCAGTTTGAAATTCACTAGCAGAGCTGAAGAAACCTTTGGTTCCCAGGGATCGGCTCCTTTTCCAGAATTTGTTGAATTAGGAATTGTTAATGCCAGAGGGGAGGAGGCAGATGGGATTGTATACATTTTCCAACCCAGGGCTATATGATCATTGTAATTTGGTGTTTGAATTGGAATTTGTCCTCAGTCCAGCCTGAAAGAGGAGGCTCCTTCTTTCCCTCATGTCTTCCTATGCTTCTCCATAATGCAGGAGGGAGTTATGAAATGTTTTTGTCAGTTCGGGAAATCGCTTTTCAAGTATTCCAAACGAAAAAGGAGAAGATACTAATTGTTTGTGTCTTGTGGAAACGTGAGTTTGCAATGCCAGCTTATTGTGCAAAGAGAAAGAAAGTACCCTTCTCAGTTTATCTTTTTATGTGATTTAGTGGAAGACAAAGAAAATAATTGTCCCAACAAACTGATTTCCTCTAGAGAAATAAGCAAGTGAAATCCACTTCATAAGATTTCTGTCTTACCATTCACTCAGGCCCCATCACATTCCTGCAGCAATTCAGTCTGTGGCAGTCTTGGATGCATGGCCCCTTTAAATTTCTCCAACTCTGAGGATTGACTTGAATAATTCTATTCTTTTCAAATGGTGACTTTCTGGCCCCGTGGGGCATTGTCGGTTCAGGAGGACGACCCCCAACTGTGGTCCAGAGGCTATCTTATTTTTGACTCTGTTCAGCGCAGAGGACCGTTCTGGAAAGGGGAAATGAGTGAAACTTACTTTGCTGCCATTTGGAGATTTAGAATTCTTCTCATGGTTTACCATGAAAATTTACAGAACCTTTTTCGTGAATTTCATGAATAGAGCTTTATGGAGATTTCCAAGATTGAGGTGTACGTCTAAATAATTTTTTAAAAATAAAACTTTAGGTGATTTAGAAGCAGATGTATCCCAAAATTAGTGATTCCCCCTTGTTTTTGGGTAAACCACCATATTTTACTTGCGGAATGTACACTGAACTTTGAAATGGAAAAATAGAAATACATTGACTCTAGCCCTGACAGTCTACTTATTAAAGTGAAATGAGCAATCATAAGCATGAATTTGAAAGGAAACTATTAATGCATTTTAAAACAGATTTTGTTTTTTAAATTTCTAAATGTTTGCTATTGGAAACTGAATCACAGCGTCGAGTATTCAGACTTGTCTTCCCAAGAAGGATGAGCCACTAGTCAAGTGTGGGAGAGGATATCGCTGGAGTCCAGGGTGCCATTTCTGCGATTTGTGTTTTGTGGCAATCACTTGAGGGGAGAATATAGTTTAAAAAAATTAGGTTGAGGGGCTGAGTTGAGTAGGAGGTAGCCTACATTTCAGGACAGGCAGAGAACGTGGTAAATAGCAAAATGACCAGACCGGTGTGGTTCCAGAGACTCCGCCCAGTGATGATCATGTTTGTACTCAAGTTTTAGAGTAGCAGAAATTGGTTGGTATTCGTAAAGGACTGGAAGCCCCTTGAGGGCAG